GTCGACGACAGTGTGACTGACTTGAGTGAGCTGTGGGTCAAAAACATGGGTGTGGTGGTTAACCGGATGGGCGCCTTGCATAGAATTATCCATAGAAATTTGAAAAATAGATTGAGGAAATTTCGTCAAGAAATTCTGCAGCTTCCACCACAGCCCTGCACCAACAGTGTCATAAAATAGATTGAGAAAATCCTAAAAGTATATATAAAATCACTCACCAGGTCAATATCGAAGAAGGTCGGCCTACCGTGCACTTCACAGCACTAAGAGATAGCGCTTTGGGAGAAGAAATGGTTGGATTTTGTTATGTTATGTGAAACAGTTCAGTGGTTAAGTCCACTGTGGGAACCCACGTGTCAAAACCACAGCGGCCATGGCGGCACGAACTTAATGGGGCCAAGTTTAAATCATCCTTGGTTCGTTTCGTCCGTTGTCATTGGATTTCACTTTCATTATCTCTGAGCTTTAATATCTGGGAAACTACTGCTTGCTTCATGAAACTCTGCTGAGAGAATTATTTGAAATAAAAAAGCTTTTTACCTGTGTCAAGCATGTCCCACAAGAAACGAAGCAAACGGGTAGCTTTCCAGGTGAGATTAAGAAAAACGATTTTACGGGATATCGACTTATCGCAAGCCTCTTGCCTTCCTTAAAGGAACGTACTAATACGTTGACGACGATGGAGTTAATTCAATCAAAGCTGAACCTTCGAAAAGACAAGTCGGTGCTTGTAACCCTTCGAAGCATTTTAGTAAACTGATTTCTCTACTCTCAGGTTTGCTGAAGATTGCTCAGCCTCGGAGCCAATCACAGTGGCAGAGAGCGATTCGACACGCCCCTGTATTAGAGAGGACGGGCCAGCAATGCGTAACGCAGAGGTTGCCAACAGAGACAGAGAGCTCGAGTCGTTCGGCTCTCCTCAATTGGAACCATCTACATCACAACTCCAGATCGATCTGTTGCAGTCCGCGACGGCTTTATTCAATGCGCGACTCGACCATGCAATGCAAGAAGTTGAAAGACTGCGTATTCTGCTGGCTGACCGCTCAATGCCACCCGTCGAGTTCAAAGCCCTTCAGCACCAAAGACTAGTCCAGGAAAGGTGGCTATTATCAGCCCAGGGCCTTTCGGGAAGGCTAGACGAACTCACCGCTCAACCCCCATCAAATAACCCTACTGGTAGGCCTGACTCAGACGCGTTATTAAACTCTCATTCAGAACTGGACGCCAACTTGGCTGACTACCGTCAACGTCTACAAGACAAGGCTTTAACCAAGAGTCATACTCCTCAACGAACGCCTCGAAACCAAACAGTCACTCAGCCCACGTCTCCTCCGCGTTCTCGGCATAACGGCCTACTTGTCCTCAATCTCGCCTCTCGTTACCCTCCTCCTCCCAGATACCGCAAACCTCCTCCCTCACATTCCTTACCACCTTCAATGGATGTTCAAGACCGATCGGAAGTATTATTGGCGCCAATAGAGTCGCTTCCAACGCCCCCATCTTCTCCTAACGGTCGCGGGACAGCCAAAATCTGGCGAAGCTCCATGGTCCGCCCCAAGGATCAAATCATCGCGGACATTGTCGTAGCTATGCCAGACTATGTCAACGACCTCCTCGCCGGGTTAGACTCTGCCGTTCCAGATTCATCACCGGAGCTCCAAGATCCTTTTGCTTCTCCCTTGAAACCCGCCAAACGGGCTAGCGTCCCAGCTATGCCAACCACCAGTCTCAAACCCAAGTCATCCAGAACGAGCTTCAAGTTACCCCGCCTACCACCTCGCTCCGAAACCCCATCTTCACCGCCTTCAAGACCTACCACACCACATCTACCTGCGACACCCTCTCGAAAGCGCCTTAGCGCATTACTAGCCTTTCCAGAAGCTCTTTCCTCGCGTATCAGCCTACGCACATCAACGGACCTTGGCAACAATAACATGAGTCATAGTAACAGTCGAACAGGCTGGAGAATGAGCTCTCCACCCTCGTCTTTTCCTTCTGCACTTTTTCAAGAGGGCAATACCAATGTTGGGCCTGTTGGTCTGCCGGCCTCGCCAACTCCTAAGGGATCCTTGGGTTCTCAAAGAAGCCTTAGTTACAATCGCCGCCCCTCCGTGTCAATTTCTGATCTCCGGTCCTCCGCGAAGGGTTCTTCTCCGGTTGTGCCATCTTCCAGTATCAAAGTTGTTGCTGCTGCTGAAACAGAGGTCCTTCAACCTCAACTGTCACCCTCTGAACCGAAGGGTAGCAATGAGGGGAAACTATTGTCGAAACTGCGACATCGCATGTCTGCCCTCCGGCGATTTTGAAGCCCACAAATCAACTTCTGAACATGGCAACCTCAATAATCACGACCTTTGCTCGACTGCTTAAATGCTCCAATGTGGATATTTATCGTTTCGCTTCGCTTGTCTTGCTATCATCCTTTTGCTACTTTTTACGACACCTTCTCTGCTTCATCATGCTCCTTACATCATTATCTACGTTCCATTGCACAACACGCTCTTTTTAGATTGCTCCGCGATACCTACCATACACTTTATGTCGAGATGATTCGTAATTTTGACACCCCGCACTCTTCGTAAATCGTAGCTTAAATGTCGCTACGTATTTGCCCAAATCCTTCTTTGCTGCTGAACTCACTGACACTAGTTTCATCTAACCCATTAATCAAGTTCTTCGGTCGTCGAAGAATTTTCGGCCAGAGCTTTCGCCGTTGCGTCGAACATCACCCAGAGTCGAAAGAGACGCAATCGATGATTGTAATTCCCTTGGTCCAGGTCAGCGCATATCCTACACTTTACGTTGATCATATGATCGTGTATGCTCATGCGTGCTTGTTCACTTTTATATGTTGTTCAGCATTATTCTGGTACCACCAACTCAGAGACAAGGCGCTCAAATCAAACCATACTGTTACCGGAAGGTCTACGTGCATCTGATATCAACTTCGCACAAGTCTACAGCGTCCATTTGTACCAGTTTTTGGTAGCTTTGCTGAGATCTCCGTTGCGACAATACCAGATGGGGCACTTGATCAACTTCATTGGACTCATATACATATTGTTTTGGGACATGGCTTTCACTTATAGATCGCCTTTTTTTTTTTTTTTTTTTTGGCTCTACCCTATGTCTGGTCAGCTGCTGGGTATAGGCACGTCAATGTGCTTCCATTCGAGATACAGAAGGGGTACTGTAATTGATGACATCTTAAATGCGCGATCGACTTTTGATGACTACAGTTCGACAACAATCGATACACTGGATTCCGACCCATCAGGATAACCATTGCCAACCTAGAATTGGTGCTATAAAACTGGACCAATTCAACATGGACACCTCTTCAACCTGTACAGTCTTTCAAGTTATCTTCATTCCGTCCTCGGGATCTCTTCACTCTTTTCGATTCACTCATTCCAAATCACCATGTTTGTCACATATCGCAGCTTTATCCTTCTCCTACCTTTGGCTTCTTCTGCCCTCGCCAACAATTACTTCTACGGCATCACTGCCAGCGGAAGTGAAGGTGGCAAAAATAGCTACACTTGTCGTACCCAAGACGACGTGAGTCTGGCAGTCTGATAGCAATGTCAATAAGGAATTTAATGCCCGCGTACTGCAGTGGAACGCGATCGCCAAAGACACTAGAGATCAGGGATTTCATTCTTTCCGCATGTACACTTTTGACTGCAACGCACTGGAAATGGCTTCCTCTGCGGCGGCATCTCAAGGCGTCAAATTGCTTGCCGGTATATATGTTGACGTGAGTCTTCCCTTTTTCGAGGTCTACTTAGTGACTGAAACACACGCCTTTGAAGGGTACTATGGCCCAACGTTCCGCCAAGGTCGAGTGCGTCGACTGTATTTAAACAGAAGAAGTTCCCGACTGAATGAAATCCTACAGCCAGGATACCCAGAGCTTCATCAACGCTGTTAGAAAGTATGGCGAGGGTCGCTACGCGGGTCTCACCGTCGGAAATGAGGTGAAATAAAGCACGATTCTGAAGAGGGTTACCATGTTCATTAATACTGTACAAGATGAATGACTCCCCCCAGAATATTATCGCCAAAGTCAACGATGTGCGAAGTACGTTGATCTATGGGTATACTCCCCCATCTGGAAGTTGATGCGCCTTTATTAGCTCGACTCAGGTCCAGCGGTGTAAATACAGCGGTGTCAACCGTACATACCTGGGTCGCAGTTCGAGATAGTCCTGTCCTCTGCTCTGGAGACTTCGTAGGCGCGAATGCTCAGTAAGTGGTTTCTTTAAAACTTAACTATCCTCTTGTTGATGTTGTCACTTAGCGTATTCTTTGATGGACAACGTACCTCGAACCAAGCTGGCGACTTTATGTTTAGCACCGTTGTGCCCTCGTTGAAGAGGTCGTGCCCCGGCAAACCAATCATGATAACCGAGTATGTCTTCTGTCCTTGATTATTGAGCCTCGCTTATAACCTACAGATCTGGCTGGCCTTCTCGGGGAAATAACAACAACGCTGCGGTCGCTTCCGTCAACGACGAGCGTACAGCTCTGTCGTCGCTCAATTGTGCAGCCAAGAGAGACCCAAGCATCCAAATTTATGCTTTCGAGCACGACGATCAACTTTGGAAAAGTAACGATAACGAACGCAGTTTTGGCATCGTTGGGAAAATCGGTTTGAACAACGATATTCTTAACGCTTGTTGATAGTTGCCCAGAAGTAACCAATTGATAGTGCCATTTGAGGGATGACTTGATGATGTTCCTTGTTAAGACCAGATATTCTGTGTATTTCTCTACTTTAACGCTGTAGACTTTGGTCACACCTGGATCCCATATACGTTTCCTGAGGATGCTTGAACGTAATCACCATCATTTTGCGCAACGTCCGAGAGCAACCATCCTCCCCTAAGTATGAAGTATGCGTAGTGCTTGGATGCGCTGAAGATTGCCCTTGCATCCAGGTACAATATAACTAGGCTGCAATTACATTGGCTTAGATAACGCCTGTTGTCAAGGCCCGCCTAGCTCAATCGGATAGAGCGTCAGACTCTTAGGCGGTGTCTTTGATATCTGAAGGCTGCGAGTTCGACCCTCGCGGTGGGCTAATGTTTCACATTTCTTTTTGCAGATTGCATGACAGGAACGAGAGATCGGACCCGGAGAACATGCAGATGGTGGTCCGCACTGGGGGAGTTACTTTTTCAGTTGGGGCGCTTTTCGAATGGTTATCCGCCAAATGCTATTCAACTCCGTAAATACATCAAAGGAATAATCGCAGGATCGTATGACTTCGTAACATGTCGTGTCAGTAACTTCGGTAAGTATGGGATAAAAGGTGATATCGCAATGCTCAAGACCAGAAAAGATGTGAAGAATGAAATAAATAGGTGTGTGTATGAGGGAATAATAGCGGAGAGACGCAGCAAGAAGAGCAAGAGCAAGGAAGATTGTCCTCGAGCAGAGTTGGAAGGAAAGAAAACGATATTCACATACTCTACGGCATAGGCTGCCAATCTCTATCCAAGCCTCCAGCCCATGGAGCACCTCCAAATGCGCTGAGAGGTGGGCTCGCACTGGCACTCCTCTCAGGGACCTCTAGTTCGGGCACGGCAGGGATCATCACACCTTTCACCGTTCCCAGCGATGTATCACCCTGAACCATCGTCGTTGATGATCCTAGGGATTTAATTGTACCAGGCTTCTCTGGAGACATATACACGGGAGGTGGGGAGCCGATGAGAGTTGGCGTATGTGGGCGGTCAAAAGGGTATTGATGCTGGAGGGAGCTCGGTCCTGGGCTAGGGACAGGGCTAGGCGAGCTCCGACCACGAGGATGAACACCGAAAGCTGAAAGGGCAGGTGAGACTGGGGCGTGCCTCTTCCGGCTATCGGAGGAGATGCTGCCTTTGTGCATTAGAGCATGTATGTTGCTGCTGGCTCCTGACCGATTGGACGGGGAACGAGATGAGTTTGAGTTGACTGAACCACCAAGGCGTGATGAGGCAGGAGCTGAACCAGAGGAACGGTTGGATGGGTTGAAGTGCGAGCGCATGGAATGAAGAGAGCCTTGCTCCGAGGTGAATTCAGGGCCCTGAACAAGCTGTGAGAGAGGCCATCAGTATGTAGCCCAGCGTTACGAATGTTGTTGACCTACAGTGCCAAATGTACCTCTGCCAGAATCTCCAAATCCACCTGTTGCAATTGACCTCCAGCCATGTTCAGCCTCTGGTGGCTCCTCTTCTAACACATCAAATGATAGATCGTCAACAGCAGCCCGTCCAGTCGCATAGCCTAAGGAACCGCCCCTTGAGTCAGATGCCTCGGTCCCTGTGTCTGACGATGCCCAACCAACGGGACGTATCGTGGTCTCCAATGGTCCGAAACCACCAAGTCCAGGTGGAGGGAAAGGAGGAGCTTTCATTCCAAAGCTGCTTCCAGTCGCGCTGTCTTTCAAGGATGAAATCGAAGCAAAGTTGTTTAATGCGGTTGGTGCGGGCATGTCCAAGATATCCAGATCGTTAGGTGGCATCGTTAAACTTGTCTGCGACCTGGTCGGTGAATGTGTGCTATATGGCCTTGTGGGCTCCTCATACGCTGGTGGCCCAGCTAATGGGCTGGAGAACCAGAGGTGTTCCGTCATCTGAGGAGCAGGGATAGCAGGCAGCGGTTGTTCGACAGGGGTCATGGCCCTCGGTAATGGCGTCAAGATTGGTGTTCCAGGTGTACCCGGCCTTGATTTCGCATCAAAGAATTGTGTTCCGCCTGACCCTGCACTAAATCCACTGGCTGTTGAGATAGGGCGACTTCCATCGGTACCTGTACCAAGAGCAGCTGCGCCGCGAGGCCTATTGCCAAAGCTGTCAACTGCTCGTTGTTCAGATGATAGAGCGTGCTGCCCTGTTTCCAAGTCCTTTTCGGAGAGGAGTTCAGCAAGATATGAGGGTGATTCGGGTTCATGGTGGGTCGGTAGAGGGGAGTCAAAATTTTTGAACCAGGAAGTGCGACCTAAATTGGCTAGCGCACCGAGACCGAGTGCACTCAACAGAGCACCAGCGCTTGAACGGCGGCTTGGCCCTGCAGAAGATTCGTCTTGGGAGCTGGAGCGAGGCCCCAGACTCTCCACTTTGACACGACGAGCCATATGCACGGTGGCCTCTTCAGGATGTTCACCGGCAAGGGAACCCTTGCTTCCAACCGAATCGTTGGGGTGATGGGGTTGTTGGGCAACGCTAAGAAGAGGCGCTGCGGAAGGGTCGACAAGGCGAGGGGGTGGAAGATCTGTCGTGTACGCATAAGCGCCAGAGTATTCTGGATCTTGGTATTGGGCATTGTCATCAGGGATAACATTCTCCCGACCAAGACGCTCCATTTCCGCCTCGGACAAGTGCTGCCCGCTGCTTTGCTCATATTCGGGCATACTTGGCAAAAACTGAATAGTTGGCCTTTCCAGTAATACCCCGAAGCCTGAAGCATGGGAATTGGTCGAATCCGAGGAATTACTGTTCGTAGTGGGGGGAGGAACGCGGGCAGTATAAGCACGAGTAGGAGTGTCAGCACTCACACCACCAGTCTGGCCACGGCGTTGAAGGAATGAATCGGTCTCTTCGCCGCTTTGCCTAGGAGAACCTTCCCCTGGGCTTCGACCAATGCCGGAAGGCACAACAATGTAATCGTCATCAATGGGTGACAGAGTTCGATATTCGCGACGATTCTTGCGCGCCTTCCACCAGAGGAAAAGGAAGAGCGCCAAGACGAAAAGGAAGACGAGTCCGAGGATGCTTGCCACGATTACTCCGACAAGCTGGGGTTTGGTCAGCCCAGTAATTGCGGGAATACCACTGGCAGTAGACGATGGTGCAGCAGAGGAAGACGTTGCCGCCAACGTCGTGGAAGATGATGTGGAAGACGTCATTGAGGCAGAGGTAGATGATGAAGATGTGATGAAGCTGGTAGTAGTAGAGGTAGAGGAGATAGAAGAAGTAGGTGTCGCAGTTGTTAAAACAGAAGTAGGTGTCGCGGTTGTTAATACAGAAGTAGGTGTCGCAAAAGTCGTTGTTGATGTCGTGGGTGTCGCAGATGTGGTAACAGGGGTCTCTGTGGTTGAAGTGGCAGCAGGAGCGCTGGAGAACTGTATTGAAGGAGGAATCGAGTATCCCCCGTAACTGTACAGGGAGCCAAGAGGAATCTAACCATTGATTAGCTACATAACCTCTATGAAATTGTTTGTAGACTCACACTTGGTCCATAGTAAATCGGAGTCACGTAGGATATCGACGTCGACGTCGTTACAGGGGCTCCTGCAGCATCCGTGATGACAGAAGGTATCGGAGTCAGCCACGGAGGGTACTCCACAGACGGTTGGGCCATTTTATGACAGAGGTAAAGGGTTTTCTAATACAATTTTAGTTCCTGAAAAAAAGTTGAAGTCGTTAGTAGAGAACGTGGGGTTGCTTCTGGTCTCTAAACACATGAAAGTCAGCTGAGTGAGCCTTTTCAAACGTTGAAACACCAACGAAGTCTTAAAAGTTGTTTTTGACTGTTACAAAGCCACGATATCCTGAGATACCGAGTATTAGGAGGAAGGGGGGCGCAAGGAGGAGGTAAAGAAGAACGGATGGATGCGCGCGTCAAGTCGAACCAACCCCACGTGACCGCCCCGTGGGCTGAGTCGGCCTGATAAAGTTCGCTTCTTTTAGCATGAAGCAAATTCATCATTATGACAACTTTAAGGTACAATCTGCTTGTGACAGGCTACTGCTAGGGTCTAGAGAAGAATTTATCGACTGCAAAACCAGCCACCGAGAGAGGTCAAAGCGTCGAAGAGGGTTGAAACGAATCAAGCGCCGATCGACTGGATAAAGACATGATCGACTTTCTTTTTGATCTATCACACTAGATAAGATCGCCAGCGTCTAAAATTAGCAATACCAACGGACTTCACTCTCAACCGACTTTATGAAAATGTAGGTCTGTCATGCACAGGCACGCACACAAAATCTAGTCATTGGGTTACAGCTATTATAATTTGAACTGACTTCCTTACGATGTTAACCCCTATACTAAGTCACCTTTCAACAGATTGTAAACCTATTCATCTTTCTATAAATTGAAATGGGCAGACTTGCAAGAAAAGGTGTGGCAGAGTGAGAGTACTGTACTAGGGTCTGCTAGCACTGAATATTTCACACCTCTTTGAGCAGAAGCAACTTTGTCCAGGTCCACGACAACGTTTGAAAATACCCGAGTGACTCAACAATTCGCCCCTGCGTCGTTCTCTATTTCTCTCTCCATTCTCTAGCCATTTTGGGTGCCTACGCTGGCCCTCATTTCAAGGAAATTGACTGAGTAAATGCACCCATCGATAGGTCACACGACACCACTTCAAGGTAGATGATATTTTTCATACTTGCATGTTGCACCAACACATCGGTTCATGGCTCCGATCTCCAATCTGTGGCCCGTTCTTGCGGAAGCCTTGGTGTCGAATTTCGTCCGAGCGACTATGAACGCCGCAGCTGTGATGTTAAAATTCGGACAAAGCGCGAAGAAAGCATACAAAATGACTCTGACGGCACAGGTCCCGCAGGGCAATTAAGGACCGGTATTCATTGACTAAATGTTATTTAATCTTCTCAAATGCCCGAAGCCCCAAAAAGGTATCTGTCCCTCGTTGGTCTTACCTTAATGGACATCAAAGTGGAGGTCAGTCCGGTTATGACTCATATGGTGTGTTCTCCAAAAAAAACATAGCTATAATTCTAAAGCTGGCGGTGCCCAGCAAAGACTTGTCTGCCTGAAACTCGTTCTGACAATCCCACCTTCCATTCCGACGAGCCCGCTTATGGTCCATGGTGGCGTATCAAGTCGCACAAACATATGGTCATGTCAGGGACGAGGAAATTTTTGGAGGTGTACACTGTGAACAAGTACTATGATGGAGTGTTACTGCGGCATAAAGCCGTTGTATAAAGCTATGGTTACTTCCGTCTTGTGTGCCTCATCTCCACCCGCTGGCGGTTCCATTATTTCTGCCTTACCGCCTAGTAGCTGCTCCGCAAAGTTTAATTCAGGCCCAGTAAAAGATGGATTCTTCCTTTGCTGGGA